GGGGCAGTCAGTTCGATTACAGTACTTGCGTCCTGCGTCCTTGTTTCTGACAGACAACATACATCAATACAGAGGGAATCCAGCGTACGCGCAAGAGCCATCTGTTGATCTGCTCGCTTCAGTGTGCGAACATTGAAGGTGGCTAGGTAAACAGGCTTTCGGGGTTTGAAAACAGACTTCGAAGTGTTTAGAGTTGTAACTGAACTCAGACGTGCAGAAGCTGCAGCTGAGTGTGATGCAGGGCGAGCAACACGTTCAGTCCTAGAGCTGGGACCTGCGGAGATACTGGAGATAGTGCCAGGGCGCCCACAACTAGACAGGAGGACGATTAGGGTCCTCAACCAAAGCTTTTGGCTCAAAAACCTAACCCCAAGGCAGCGGCGTTCGGCTGGAAATGCAAGTACATTACCTTTTTTCACGGAACGCGTCGCCGTACGTGTTCCAACCCCCAACCTGGAGGGCCAGGAGACTGTGTTCGTCGGACCTCTACCCATGGACCAACCTGGTATGAGAGACTCTGTGAGCATCATGCGGACACTCCCCAGTATAGCTCAATGGGTCGCCGAGGTACACAAACCGCCACACCACGGTAAGGTCCAGTCTCTTCGTGACGGACCATAGCTCATGCGGGTTGGTGTCGGCGCGTCCGTAACGAGGCGATTAGAAAGCGAGTTTTCGGTTGTACAGCGGGTAATTCCATTGCCGAATGTGTCCAGCACCATAAGCTGCATTGGTTGGGACATGTTTTACGTATACGGAAACATCGTTCGCCGAAGAGAGTGCTGTTTTCCGTGCCCAATTCAGAGTGGCGGAAGCACAGAGGTCGCCCAACCTTGACCGGCAGAGGGGTATGAAGGAAATTACGAAACATTTGGGTGCTGTCGGTGCTAGTCGCTTTCCAGGATGGGAACCGCGTGATCTCCACTGCACCTGGTTGGAGACACTGCCGATGTGAGTGGCGTTGTTGATGTCAGTTCCCATCCGAGTTGCCTGAATGAGTGCCTCTAGGTGTAGACACCTGATAATGATTATGGTAGGTCAGCACTAAGTCGCCTTCCCCGTTCATCTTTATTCTTTTCTTCACAATAAGGCCTTCAAGTAAATCAGGGTTTTACGACAGTGAAGCATCGGTGTTTAAGACTGATGATGACGACCGAGTCGTTTAAATCACATGTTAATTGCGGATTCGTTTGACCCAGTGTTCCCTATCCACGACACTTCAATCACCATATGCTTGCAGTGTCAGGGAATTTTCCGGATGACCACATGAACTGTAGAACAAAAATACCGCGACTCGAATCCTCCTCTGGCTTTCTTATTGCTCTTATCTGGGTTGGGGGTCAACTTATCAGTAGGTGAGCTTCCTTCGGGTTGCACTGGTTTATTCAGAAGGATTTGGTTACAGCTATTTGACTAGGTTTGTTTGAATATGAGGAAGATAGGACATGGTGTCCGCATTGTAGCTGCCAGTTCCTCGACAGTGACCTTTCTCATGGTTTGCTGTGTTTACACTTCCGGCGCTATACTAGACGGTTCTTTTCCAAAGTACTTTCTTCACTTATGCTGTTACACTGTTGCTGAATGCTCATGGGAATAGTGACTCTCTAGACATGAGGGGCTATCTAATTATCGCTAGGATTTGCGACTCTTCTTTTTATATAAGAGTAAGGTGCCGGTCAGCTATGGATATTGGTAAATACATGTCTGAAGTTCGCTAATTGAGGACAACGGCAATTTAGTTGTGCTTGGTCGGACTGCCAATAATCAGAGAGGGTGACTGGCGTTCCCCAGATCTTGGAAGGACTCGGAATTTACGGTAATCGAAATATTTCTGCTTGCGTCCTCCCGTGGATTTTCTGTTGTTTTCTTTGAGACGGGTAAATCGGTAGTAGCATTTTCTACCGGGTGGCGTGGTAACTACTCGCCGAAGGGTTGTCAAGGCTGGGCGTTCGGACTCCGATCGGTACTGTAAATACCTAGCCACTGTCCAACTCACTTCGAATGGACCAGTGAGCACGTTCACCCAACCTACAAAATAGTGCGTTGTTGATGTCAGTTCCCATCCGAGTTGCCTGAATGAGTGCCTCTAGGTGTAGACACCTGATAATGATTATGGTAGGTCAGCACTAAGTCGCCTTCCCCGTTCATCTTTATTCTTTTCTTCACAATAAGGCCTTCAAGTAAATCAGGGTTTTACGACAGTGAAGCATCGGTGTTTAAGACTGATGATGACGACCGAGTCGTTTAAATCACATGTTAATTGCGGATTCGTTTGACCCAGTGTTCCCTATCCACGACACTTCAATCACCATATGCTTGCAGTGTCAGGGAATTTTCCGGATGACCACATGAACTGTAGAACAAAAATACCGCGACTCGAATCCTCCTCTGGCTTTCTTATTGCTCTTATCTGGGTTGGGGGTCAACTTATCAGTAGGTGAGCTTCCTTCGGGTTGCACTGGTTTATTCAGAAGGATTTGGTTACAGCTATTTGACTAGGTTTGTTTGAATATGAGGAAGATAGGACATGGTGTCCGCATTGTAGCTGCCAGTTCCTCGACAGTGACCTTTCTCATGGTTTGCTGTGTTTACACTTCCGGCGCTATACTAGACGGTTCTTTTCCAAAGTACTTTCTTCACTTATGCTGTTACACTGTTGCTGAATGCTCATGGGAATAGTGACTCTCTAGACATGAGGGGCTATCTAATTATCGCTAGGATTTGCGACTCTTCTTTTTATATAAGAGTAAGGTGCCGGTCAGCTATGGATATTGGTAAATACATGTCTGAAGTTCGCTAATTGAGGACAACGGCAATTTAGTTGTGCTTGGTCGGACTGCCAATAATCAGAGAGGGTGACTGGCGTTCCCCAGATCTTGGAAGGACTCGGAATTTACGGTAATCGAAATATTTCTGCTTGCGTCCTCCCGTGGATTTTCTGTTGTTTTCTTTGAGACGGGTAAATCGGTAGTAGCATTTTCTACCGGGTGGCGTGGTAACTACTCGCCGAAGGGTTGTCAAGGCTGGGCGTTCGGACTCCGATCGGTACTGTAAATACCTAGCCACTGTCCAACTCACTTCGAATGGACCAGTGAGCACGTTCACCCAACCTACAAAATAGTCACTTATGATGTGTTTCAATCTCCCTTCTATGCTTGCCTTCGACGATGAGAATACCTCTGGCAGTTGAGGTATTTAGGGCATACTTTACAGCTGAATTTCCGAGAATGCTATCAAGGCGACCTCATCTCTCATTCAGTGAACATTATCAGCGCTGCATAACAGGTGTTCACTGTCTGCTTGCACAAAATCATTTCAAGTCACCACTGTCAATCACTCAATAAATTACTTTCACTATTTCTTTCTGATCCATTTCGAAATAGCTCACTTAGTTCCGGGTGATCTCTCTTCACTGTGCAGAGCCACTTGGTAATCAAATCAGATCATTTTTTGAAATGTTTTTCGTTTATCTTTTCCCATAGGTATTTGACCACTTCTGCTTCCCCTTTCTTCTTCCAGTCCCAACCAGTAATCGATGACGAGGCCTTAAAACCACTAGAGGAGGGGCAGACATCAGATGCGCTGGTACAACCCTCGTTCCGCTATTATATCATACCGTGCGCCGCCATTCCATCTGGCCAAATGGCTCGATTACGCGTGACAACCATCTTGATGGCTCTGCAACAGCTAACCGGCATCAATGCATTACTTTATTTTGCTGAATCGGTCTGTATGTTTGGAGGTCTTTCTTGGCCAGCTACCTGTGCCGTGCTCATGGGGATTTCACAGCTGTTCTTCACTCTGGGTGGAATGTACCTTATCAAACGGTTTTCACGCAAACACATGCTTCTTATCAGCTCATTGGTAATGTGCGGCGCGCACTTACTGCACGCGGTGATTATTTTCGTAAGTCTTGTTCTCATCCTTTCATCCCGTTGTTATATGAAACCGATGGTATCGTTCGCTGTGCAGACACATTAGCTACTGAGGGCAGGAGGAATGTGCCTTTATTTATGAATCAAAGAAAGCCCTCACCGTACCACTTCAGACGATGCAACGGAGACCTGACTTCCGAACATATTTTAAGACCCCTTCCAAAAGCGCTTCTTTTTTTTGAAGAACCATGTTATTCCATTACAAAATTCTCAAGGGCAAGTTGGTCGACAGTGATGTATGCGCCACATTCCACCTTAGACCGACCATGGTCGAAAAATCGTTATCTTATCCAGTTTTTGTGACCGGTTCTACTGATATCTGACGCAGAGAGCTGTTGCTTAGTTTGTAACTCTTAAGTCGACGTTCCATCCGTCACCGGTCTTTGTGTGCGAGGCAGATGTAGCTTCCAAACATCAGGTACATGCTGTAGGGTCACTGGCCATTTTTTGTGACCGTTGTGCAGTTCATCCGCCTATCACCTTTGCTTTGGGCTGTCATGAGACCCGATAGCCACTGGAACTACAGTCACAGTGTAGTAAGATGCCACGCAATTTATGGGCACCCTCGTCATAACCGAGGGACCCATCACTCTTTGATGAGTGTTACCTTTCTCCTAGGGCTGTGTGTTAGTCGGTCTCTCCCGCTTCTCAGGGACGAACCAGGTATGCCGAATGGACTCTGCACAAATCAAACACAAATTTTTGTTAAAATTTTTAGTATGAATCTGGTCCGTGCTGTCAACTATTTCGTCTGAAAGTGTGAATAACCTAATTTACACTTCAGTTAGTATTGCCTCTCCGGGATTTGGAGGAATTCCTAGCGATAAGGACTTTCGCGACCGCTGTTTTCGCTCACCTGCGAGAACGGCACAGGCGGAGTGTGTGACCCTATAGTAGCTTTTTGATGACGCATTTTAATCTGCATGAGGAAACAATCATTCATCAGTTGTTGACGTGGTTGCTGACCTCAACCATTGGTTTGCAAAAATTCTCTCGTCAGCTTAGATGTCATCATTCCGCCCACTGGCGATGCTTAACAATCAACAAGTAGTCGAACCAGAGCTACTAGTCAAGCATCACATCGCATCACATTGAGGAAACTGACGAGATTTTGAATGTTCTCAAATCCTATGGAATGATTCTGACCCAATTGATAGAGCCAACCCACCCTCAAAGCGCGCGACGAATAACTCTGAAGGTCAAGTTATTCGTTTGTGGACTGTACGTGTTAAAGTCGGGACTTCGATCGTCTTGATGGGTACGTGTCCAGCAATTAAAACATTTCACCAGACCAACGGCAATCAATCGAAAGTGATCAGCCAGTGGACAGTCTGTTACATTCCCGGAAATCGATCAAAATGTTTGGTATTAGTCAGCGGAAATCTCCGTTTGCCAAAACAGAACTTTGTTTTTTTTTCATTAGATTACAATTAGTGTTGTGTGCTTTCATAGAGGAAACTATTCACAAGGTTGCTGAAAACTCTTCGACAATCCACAACCGGTTTAATCTTGCTTGGGGCTTATCAGGTTGGCGCAGTCTCCGAGTTTCTGTCAACTTTATGTTCTACTTGAACCCAAATGGGACAAATCTCGACCAATACGCTCATTAACCCATCCACGAGAGACTCGACTGAATCTCTCTTTTATGATATTCTTCAACTGAATGTGCTGCACAAATACCGCCTCATGTTTCAGTTGGTACCTGATGAGTCCCAAGAAAGACAAAACCGGTACTGGGCTGTCGAAGAGTTTTCAGCAACCATGCGAGTAGTTTCCTTCAGGAACATATACTGCGATATCTCGAATATCGTACCAACTGAGGCGGCCTTTGTGTAGCCCATGCAGTTGAAGAATATGATAAACGATTCATTTGAGTCCACCGTGAAAACCAAGTTGATTTACAAATGAATGTATTTGTCAAAAGCTTCGTATGTTGTTTGTATGGCTCATTGGATGTTTAGAGATATTCGCGCTTGATTGATCCACTATTTCATCTGCTCTGCAACAATTTGGGTCGGTCGGTCCTTGTTGGTTCGAAGTCGCCGTTTTTTAAACACCCATAGGCCAACTGAAGTTCGAGGTTGTCCCCTGTTGACTGATTGCACGGCGGTTTCTCAAATCCGTATACCCATTGATAAGTTCTCTGTGGAATTAACTAGCCACTATCCTATTGCCTATCGGCATGCGGTTCGCACTTTCAGAGCGCTTCGAAACGCGCAGTCTCTGAATATGCACCTGAAATTCTAGGAGAAATACTTGAGGTTGTGTGGAATTTTTCGAACCTCGGTAGGTACATTAGCTCTGCGGGAAGTGTGTCGCATGGCGTCAGTAAAATCTCAAAGACTGAATCACACTTGCTTATTTGCATTACTTGTGGCTCCAGAAAAGCATATCACCGGGTCTCAAGGGTTGCATGTACGAGGCTACGGTAAGGGCTGTGTTGTTCTGTGGTTGCGAGACATGATCTCTGCGGACAGGTGAAATGAAGCGTTTTCAGATTTTTTTTACCACCGGTACCTCAGAACCCTAGCTGGTATCGGTGGTGTCAACGATGTTGATTGACCAATAATGTGTCATCCTGTAGAATACTGGTCTCATTTTTAGGTGCTGTGGTTCTATCCAGCTGAACTTATGGGAAACTGGAGTTCTATGGTGGACAAGCCCTTCGGATGAGAAAATAGCAGAAATTCTACCGAGTCAAGAAACTAACAGTCTGCAGCTACAGTTCTGTCAGACGTTCATCCAGTTAAGATGAATAGTGACGTGTAGCGATTTGTACTTTTACGCGCCCGATACTCAGTTTCTTTGGTATAGGCTACGAGTTGTCGTTAAACTTATTCAATTTGTTAAGCGATTCTTTACTGCGTGATATAACTTTAACATCGGTGGTTCGTTTGTGTTTCTTGACAAGCAATTGAAAGCTTGGTCGGATATCACGACCGTCCATCACGATAAACTTGTTACTTGAAGGCTCAATACCTACCTGTCACAGACACCTGTTCGTTGGGGTACCCACGACGCTACAGTTTGCGGTCAGTTGCGAACAAATCTATTGAAAAGTATTTTTTCCCACTCAGGCGTACTCAAGATCCTGCGAGATTTGACCATGTACTGTGCGTGGACCTTCTGGACAACTCTAGCCGTTTTCGTACTCAGTTCACTATGGGCAGTTATTTCGGGTGATCGCTCAGCGATGAAATTTCCCTCCCATCACATCCCTGTGTTCTAGGCTCTTTGGAAGCCTAAGGTGATTCTAATTTAAGCATGACCGAGTTTTACCGTGTATTTCACTGGTAATCTGATAAAAACGTTGAATTTTAGTTATCACCAATAAATAACAGTGTATTCTTCAAAATACCTATTTTCGAAAGCAAACCGAATCGGCTTTTTACATATATTAAGAGATTCATGCTATTGGCCCCAAACAGGTTTCCACCAATCCCGGAACTCGTCATCTCCTCCCCAAAGTTTGAGGAAAAATCGAGTAATAAAAATATATGGTAGCCTTATGGTATTTCGCGCGACTGCACTTCAGTAATATAGTCAATGTTTGTCCTCTAAACTATTTAGTTGGACTACAGCGCTCTCGCCCCTTGTCATTGATGAATGATCTGCTTTCGTAAACTATATATGCTAGAGTTCGATTGACCTCCCGGCGACTGGTTTCATCACATTCCACGTTACTTTCCTCATTTTTTTGTAGTTCGGTCATCCATACACGGCTCTAAACGTCGTAGGGAAGTTGTGCATAATTGTTTTCCTCTTCGGATTCTCTATTGGCTGGGGTCCACTTCCAATTCTCGTCACCATGGATATGTTCCCGGTATCAACGCGTGGATTTGCGAGCGCTTCGGGTGTCGCAGTGAACTGGATTTTGAGTTTTGTGGTCACAGTAACCTTCGAACCGTTGACCCTGATTTTGGGTGGTTCGACCATGTTCCTGTTCTACTCGGTATTTTGTTTTGTCGGCTATTTGTTTGTCGAACGTTACATTCCAGCCAACGTTTCACCACTGCCCCGTTGATTCCTTTTATTCTTCGATTGCCGCTTGTTAGCTTTTATTTTGTAACTTTTGCTGTGTTCACAAACCCTGCTGTGTTATTCTTCGTTAACATTTACGATCTATGCTTATGATACCAGATGTCCTCAGCCATTGTTAGTCGCTCACTCACTTCCGTCTAATGCGCGTACTTGTTACTCACTGTTGGTCGATCAGTCGCATCTGGCGCTTTCTGGCTGTTTTCCACTTGAAGGCTACCTGATTTTTCTAATTCAAAGACTACAGTTGGTTGACAAGTGGTATGGATTCATCTACGTTTTATGCCAACTTTACTGTTGCTGTGAACTAAATTATCGACCAAAGCGGTCTTGGTGTCTTTCGTTCTGTAGGTTCTTGGCCGCTATCGTTGTAATTTGCTTGGTGTATTGGTGTTTCCTTAATCTTCCAACTATTTGGTCAGTTGGCACGTGCCACTTCCTCATGAATTAGAAGAATATGATGAAAGCTTCATTGTCAGTTCAGTTGCGAGTGAACCCCTAATGTCGCACTTGGTTTCAATTGAATCTTCTATCGTTGAACCGGTGATACTAAATGGACAGCGGATTATTTGCACACCATGGGTTCTCTTAGTTTTGGCAGGTGCCTGAAAGGTCCGTTTGGAGATTCAGTACTACAACCGGGTTGAACAAATGCCTAACTCAGATTTGCTCGAAGTTCACTGCATTTATCCGCGTTTATCTGCATTTACAAGTTACGGGCTTTTGTTAGAGTGACGCGGTTCGGAGATGATGCATGTTTCGTTAGGGACGACATCTTGTCGTCCTTGTGAGAACACTGTCTCGGTTACCAACGTTACAGGCAGCTAAACTAGAGTCTCTGTGATTAACCACTTCCGTGCAGCGGCAAAGCTGTCATTGTACAGGGTTTTGTTGTGGAACAAAGTGTCAAGCTTCCAGGCTAGTTACGCTGCTTGGAGGTCCCAACTTGAGGAGCACACTTTCCTTTGCCCAGTGTGGTTGCACGCATAGCATTCATTAAAACTCTATGGTTCAAACCGGAATATCAATATTAACCGAGTGACCTTAGCTGGTTCCGACAATCTCTGGTATGCTAATACCTGCAATGTAGTCCTTTTCCATGTGCCTAATACGGCTCGACACCACTTGCGTTTTTCCGGCCTCAAATCGCCCATACGATTGAGGTTTCCGTGGCAGCCATGGTACGGGACATGACATGACAATCTTATCTAGCCTGCTTATGGTCATTGGGGCTTACGCCACTTCGATTACTACTTTCTATAGCTGTTCGCTGTCGACTTCAGGGTGAACAGAACCCTCGCGTTTAGTGAATGAAAGTTTGATCAGGCCGACCTACTCTCTATAATCCATGTCTATTGGACACTCCATGGTTCAGCATGACTTAATCCATGGACGCAAAAGGTGCTAGTTCAGATCACGCTGGAAGGGCCTTTTCATCAGAGAAGAACTGGGAGAACTCAAGAACACCAATTTTCTGTTCAAGGCGAGTCGGTTTCACTGATTCCATGGGTCGATGTTGTGCGAGATTTCGGTGGCAAACAAAGAGCAGGTGCTGACCGTGTAAAGTTTTGTTTCAGGTGTCGTACGCAATGAATATTGTGCCGGCCCCAGTTCCTTACATTTTCTCACATCGGACTGCACTGATTAGGTCTAGTTGTGGCTGGTGTGTTAAAGTCAACTTTATTCCTCCCTACAGTACACACAGGCTACTCATGGTGTGTCTATTATGCCGAGTGATACGTACCTAAGACAGGGTGCTCTATTGAATAGCTGTACTGGGGGTTTAATCTTGCGTCTTCGTGTACAGTTGAATTAGTCATGCGGGCACCAAAGTGTATCCGTAGTCTGACTCACTCGAACATTCCAACCTATGTTATTGTCAGCCATCTGGCTACACATTTCATCAGCAAGTGAATCGACTTGGTTGCACAATGTACAATCGAATGGTCTGATCAGATTTCGCGAAGCAATGCCACCTTATGGTGTCACACCATCCACGGAGGGAATGGTTTGCGTCGTTAGGCGTTGCCATGGCGACCGATACTACCTCAGCTAAAAATCGTCCGTATGAATTTTGGACCTAAAGTACAACTCACATTTGCAAAGCTGTAGTTGTGATAAACTGTAGTAACCGTATTTCGTCATTAGTGCGAAGTGACCTGGGTCAGTTAGTTGGAGCGTGTGGTTGACCCGCTTTGGTATGTTCAACGGACCACAATTTGAGAGCATGATGGACCACACAAGTGTTCATTTTATCGATACGTCTGTCTTTGAGATGGGTCTGCTATTTTAGAGAAAATTGGAATGACATCAACAAGGGTTCATCCAACATAAAACACCGTATTCGTAGTATTTGGACATACTGCCGCAGTCGAGCTGTCAAAAGAATGTAGAAGTTTGTAGATGTCATGAGCACGTTTCAGGCTCTTCTGTCTTGCTAGCCTATTTTGCTAGTTCACCAACATCCCATGGTCTGAGGATGTCCTAGCCTAGCATCAGTAGAAAAGCAAGGCGATGGACAAATTGGAAAGTATATCACATTCATCACAAACTGAGTTTTTATTGGTCACAGGTCACACTGTCAGAAAGAGCCACCATAGTTTGGAAATTCTCTCAAAACTTTGATGTTTGAGAATGCGAATAAAATCACATCATGACAGTTTCAACTCTGGTTAGGTTTAAAAGGTGTGGCTAAAGCTGTAGCCTCTGTGTCTGGCTAGGCTAGCTAACCATTGTCAGTTTCTGATTGAGTCACAGACAGCTTGATGAAGCTTCAAGCTAACTTAGTTGGTCTCGAACGCTAAGTGTATGCCGTTCACAGAAGTGCACTTTTTTGCATTTCATTAAGTGATGTCCTACCTGATGACCAGCGCCGTCTGGAAACCGCTCTCAATGTTAGGCACTGGCTCTGAAAACATGTTTGTTTTTATAGTTTGCATTGTAAGGGTCTTCTCTTATATGGATTTACCTATTCTACCTGGTGAATGTAGCTTATATGAGGTCTTTTCGTGGAGCTGAAAATGAGTGCGTGTGAGAGGGTGGTATGGATTTTCTTGTCTTCATTCTTCACCCCGTGTTATCTACGATCAGTGGCAAACGACGGAAGCTTTACTTGCGGAGACAGTTACACCGGCTATTAAGTGTGTAGAACATATCCCTCGCAAAATCCGATTGCTCTACGGGATGACTGCCAAATGAGTTTACGAAAGGCTCCCACTTTGAGGCCAAAGTGCTGCCTCAGTGCTGTTTTGCTACAACGTATCCATGATGCTTGTGTCGAGCCCCACCTGGAACTTCTGTTCACACTGACTAAGGTCTCCAGAGGATGCGTGAGTCCTACAATGCAGTCAGGATCTAAACTGCTTCATCAACAGTTTCACTTTTCTCGAGGAAGCTTTACTGCAGACACTCAGTAGAACGGTTGTTCAATGGTTGTTGAAGTCCAGACCTGATGACAGGCCGAAATTACTCCACCTCCTCAGAAAATTCGCTTACTTTTTCATCGTGCGCTTCATTGGGTTCCTGAGTATCAATGTTCACCGGACGGAGCCTTGTATGCAAGCTACGTAGAGCCTATTCGGATGCGTTGTCGTCACTGGTGATTGCCTATCGATCCAGTGTATAACCATGGTTCCGCTCTGAGAAACCTAGTGAACAGACTCAGGTTCATCCATCTCTGATCACCTAATTTCCATAGTATACGGCTTGCATATTTATCAACCAAGCGAGTGACTATTCCAGTTGCCAACTCCTCTAACATAATTTTGAATAGGATGGAATAATACGTTTTGTTTTGTTTTGGAATAACCCGTATGGGAAGCCCTCGGAAAAAAGTAAGCACATTCATGCATTGAGAATGTCCTCAGTTTCTTGTAAAGTACCGTTGATATGTTGCACCAAATAGATTCAAAAGTACTGAAATGTAGATGATGTGAACTTTCAAGCGGCTATTGTTATTCACATGAATCTACAAGCAACTCATGGCTCCCAGCTATTCTCACCTTTGTCTCTAATGAATTAGAGCTGTAATCAATTGGCACGAATATAAATCTGTCCATCTATTTAGACTGCCCTGTATTCTTGTTAGTCTCAGTATCATCAAGGCCAACAATATATCAGCAAGAGACGCTGGTGTTCAACAAACGCATCATGTTTGTGGCGAGTTTTCCAATAGTACAAGCTTATCGGCGTTATCTCTTGGACACTCCTTTGAATTTACCCAAAGAAAACAGGTAGAAAAAAAGGAAACCACTATGATAAGGGCCCCGCTTGTTTAAACGCATCGGTATACCAATAATAGGTGTTTCTCTACTCTTGTGAAATCGATCTCCAGTTGCCTACCAGCCATAATCCTTCGACCAGTTTATTATGATTTCCAGGAACCTAGTCACTCAGAATCATGAAGAACTTGTAGAAATCTGATTCATTTAGAATGTGCCGTACTAGGATTCTTTCACTGAGACGAGCAGTCGATTCATCATTTGGACCTCAAGTTCCAAACATTTGAATTGTTGTGGAATCACAAGCAAAGCCGTTTACAGAATTTATGAAGGGGAAGTGGCGAATTCTTTGCTGGGCTGGCTTTGTTCTCTCTGACCAGATGAAACACCATAGACTTGTGCCAGACAGCTGAAGCTGTGTTTCTAGTTTCTCTGGACGCTGTTTGACACGCAGTAAGTGGACCTGCATCAACTACGGGGAATAAATTTCGTTTACTTAGTTGGATTAGCAAGTCTGCAACATCAGAATGGTTTCATCATATCACTTACTAATCATTGTTACCAGTTATTTCATGAGGTACGAGATCGCAAAAGTAAATACGCAGTGTGGCCGAATGAACGAGATCGTGAACTACCTGTTTAATGACTCAAGCTCGAACCCTACACGGGCGGCTTCAGACCAGACCCATCTTGACAACCCGTATGAATAATTCAGAAATGAAGCTTTGATGAGTACTGGCTTGGTTGTTTAAGTCATAGAATTCGGGTTGAACCTTGGTCTGTTGTCAGTCGTTCTCGAAAAGCATCATCGAAGTGGAAAGACCACGAAGGGAGAATCAGCATCACTAGAAGTTTTCGGTTAACGTATCAGCTGTTCAGCTCTGCTTTCCACCAGCTAAAGAAGCCCAGTTCAGAGTTACCGTCTGAGTCAACCTGATGAAGGCGGGTTGCACACAAAATCGGTCAGTAAACTGGCCAGGTGAACCTACCCACACTCATCTGAAGAGAACAAAATATCCCCATTTAATCTACTTGAATCTTGCTTATCATTAAAAGCTGTATTGTGGGTACCAAATTTAGTAGTACGCAAGTTGATAAGTTTTACTGTCCATGTTGTGGTGACCATTGTGTGGTTGCATGTGGGGGGTCAATAGCATTGTATGTGGTGCCCGTGGCCTAAGACTGTAAGACAATTCGGACGTAGTCCTGAAACTACAACGAAGATCACACCTCGTTAACAGAACTGAATCTCTATGCAAAGCAGGTGTACCCGAATCCAGAAAACAGTTTGCCCGTTGATTATGAGTTGCTGGTAATGGCAACC